TGGATAGCTGCTAATTGATATGATTTTGGCTTTTCTAAACACAGAATTGTGACACCACCAGCCCTTATTTTAAAATTAAGTATGTGGCAGATGATTCTTCGATTTCTTTTTTTTTTTTAATTCTAGTACCCTTTCAATGGCCCAACATCAAGAATGGAGCCCTGTTTGATGAGCAGTACTCCCAGGCTGCATCCCACACCAGTGACTCCGCGCTGGCCAGAGGTCCCAGCTGCCAACTCCTGCTACACAAGCTCCTCCATGCACTCCACGAGATATGGCAATTCCAGTGACATGTACACACCCCTGACAACACGCAGGAATTCTGAGTATGAGCACATGCAACACTTTCCCGGCTTTGCCTACATCAATGGGGAAGCCACTACAGGCTGGGCTAAATGAAGATGACTGCTATCAGCTGAGCCCACACACTTAAAAGAGTTACAAAAGCTTTGTGCCATGTAGGACTTTTTGTGGATGTTCTTCAAGGGAGGTGAAAATGGAAAAGATCCCAGGCAGATAAATGTAGTTCCTAATGTGGGCAGATTACAGACCAGTATGACCGAATGTTCCTGTAGCCGAAAAATACTTTTGTGCTGTTCTAGACCACTTTTCGGGCTGATCAGTGCCTTTTTTAATTCTGGGACAACCCTGTGTGCTCTCAGTTTGAGTGAGCCAGTTTTACCCCCTCTCTTATTGACAAATGTTAATGAGTCTTACAAAAAAAGTACTGAAACAGGACCTATTTATAATGTGAATTAAAGACAGGAAATTTGCCCTCAGCAAAGCTCTGTCATATGTTCTTCTTTTAAGCTCTTAATGCATTCCTTAAAAACCATTCTGCCAAGTCATCACTTACTCATATCAATTCCTCTGTCTGGTTCCTTAAAAGGACACGTGTTGCTGTAGGTTTCAGTTTACACCTAACTTTGTATATTGATGCACCTTTCTGTTGATCCAGTAAGTTTGATCTTGACAAAAGAGAAGAAAAGACATGTAGCATTGAATTATACACTGCCTTAAGTTGACTGTTGTTCTTATTATATATGTATTTGTGTTGAGTTTGCACAATCTGGAAAAATCTAACTTCTCTGGTCGGTAATGACAAGGTAAAAAGGGACTTGGGGACTGGGAAGATTTTGGATTCAGAGCCACATATGTTAAATATAATGATATGAAGCAATTATATAAAGAAAATGACAATGCAAACATGATTATTTGCTTAATTATCTAATGACAGGTATGAAACTGTTCTCTCAATTCCTTCACGTGGTGACAATTCTCTATACGTCTACAAAAGCAAAATTCAAAGCTGTGCCTTTGAAATTATTCTGTACTGTGTATGTGTGGAAAAATGTATTGTATTTTGGGGAGAATTTTTCTTAGACATTTTCCTTCAGATTTGTAGCTATTTGTGAGGTTTTTTTAGTTTTTATTAACATAGCTTTTTCTTCTGTATTATAAAACGCACCAAGCAATTATGGTGGACCTATTACCCTATGGGTAAGAAATAAATAAATGGAAATATGACAACAGGCATTTTAGTAGTTGTTTTGTAAATAAAATCTTTGATAGCACCCAGTGTGACAATAACCATGTTTATGTCTAAAATGCACATAAGTGTTATTTGTACAGTTGTGCAAGATATATGAAGGATTTTCACACCCAAATAAAGTTCTTGAAAGTAAATAGATGCCAGTGAAATTTACTTAAATAAAAAATTTCTACAAGCTGAAGACCTTCGAAAAAGGTTGGACGTCATCATGCTTTTATCCAGGGAAGGACTGGAGAACAGGTACAATTTGTGGCAAATGGGTGATGCACCTCCTCCCCTTGCCTGATGGATTGGTGATCTTGACGTGCCAAGGTCCCTCCAAGGACCAGATGCCTTGGTGAGATGTCTGTGGGTAGAACTGACCAGTAACTCAAGGCTGGATCTTTGGAAGGACCAGGATGGTGGTGAGCCCAAGCACCACCCAAGGGAAGCCAGAGGCACTTCTGCTCTTTTTTATAATAAATTTTTAAACCAAAAGAAGACTAATCCCCATTGACTGAAAAAGAGGAGACAATGAGATTATTTTAGCATACAAATATTCCATATCCTTCAACACCTTTAGGGACAACACTGTTACCCTAATTTCAAGAGCTCAGGCATACTGTTCAGGAAGGAGGAGGGATATTGGACACAGTGTGAGACCCAGAAATAATAAAACATTTCTGAGTGGTGAACTGCAACATCCTGCGTGTCTTGGGAGAAGAAATTCTGACCAACAGCAGTATCACAAAGCTGCTTGTAAAAAAGAGCCAAGAAGATCATCAGTCAAACAGGGCTTGGAAAGTCTTTTGCAAAAAAGCCTCCACAGTCTTTCTTTTTTTTCTCTTTTTTAAAAAATTAATTTAGAAACTTGCGTTGATGCCTCAGGAGTGCGCACTTCCAACTACCATTGAACTGCTTCCTGATGAGGGCTTTGAAATTCAAAGCAGACATTCATGGGGGGCAGTGTATAGAATGGTGGAACAGAGGCCACCTCCCGCATGAGAAGAGCTGCGAAGCAAAGCAGGACTCATCCTGGGCCACTGCAGCTCAGAGCCCGCCACGGCAGCTTTCAGTGACCGGCTGTGCACCCGGATGCGAGTGCAGCAGCTCGGGAGAGCACCATAAGGTAGAGTGTCTGGTGAGGGGCAAGAATGTCTCAAATCATCCCAAACTGCCAAACCTCCTGAGTCAGAGTCTGCAGGCTGGTATTTAATTCTCTCCCTTGACCATGGAAACTAAAAGTTCAGTTTTCTTGCCTAGCCATGCATTTATGTGCATATGAAGTAAATATGTGACTATGCAAATATTGCTGATGAAACTTTTATACCACATTCTGAAATATTCAGTCTCAATTGCAGTTTCCCTTCTGTCATTTTTTTCCTATTTTCTTCTTTCTTTCCTATCTTTCCTCTCTTTTTTCTATTTTTTTCTCTTTTCCTTTTCATGTTCTCTTTTTTTTTTTTTAATTTCTTGCTTACATTCTCTTTTTTCCTAACAACAAATACACATTTTTATAAAGATGTGATCTTTTTCACAGGCTAAGACATATAATAAATGACAGATATATAATATATACAGTAGAATAGAAACTAGTATTATATATTACAGCATAACTGACATAACACATTTAATATTTTTAAATAGATCTACACACACACAAATATATATATGTATGTACGCCTATAAAAATCCACTACAATTCTTCAAGATTTTTCATTACCAGGTAGAAAAAAGACTCAGCGGGGGAAGAGCAGTGAGAACTCCATTCAGTAGAATGAATCCTGTTTTTGTCAGGCTACCTCTTGCTGCTAAGGTCACTACCCTTTGACAAAAATGGCCTCTGACCTCCCCAGCCCCACAATTCTGTTGTGACTGACCCTGAAACCCATGAAATTCAGGGGCAGACATTGCTTTGGAAAGTTTAGATAAAGCTGACTAACATGGGAAGGGCTCGTGGTATGCACCCATCTGAAAAGGTCTGGCAGTTCTTTGGTAGAGGATGCAATTTATTCTGTCCTTCTCTTTCATTGAAATCCTAATCCTTCATATGCTACATAAAGTGGAAACTAAAACATGCTGATGATGAATAACAATGTGCCTTTAAAGGGCAGTAACAGTTTCCTAATCTTTATTTTTCAGGTATTGTTAAAAAAAAAAAAAAAAAATTGGCCGTGTGCAAGTAAAATGAGTGTTTTGCTGTGCTGTGAAATAAATCTAAGCAGGCTTATACTTTTTTATAGAGTTGTAAATCTAACAAGCAAAAGACTCTGTTCATTGGGTTTCTCTCCAAAGCTCCATTAGTTTACAGATGGATCCGACTCAGAATAAACGGCTGCACACTGGATGGCTGGATTTTGTTACTCCTTGTAGTCCAGTGACTGTGCTGTTCTGGATTTATATCTCAGTTCTTGTGGCAAGAAACCCCTGAGGAGGAAATTCAGGTTCTGGTTTGGGTCCGCATCTTGCACACTGCAGACAGGCACGGTGACATCGGAGCAGCTCTGGGCCCTGTCCGTCTGCAGGTGCAAGCTCCTGGCGTGTTCCGCTGTGGGACCGGCCATTTGTGCGATGAAAGGTTTCTCTTTCTCACGGATTCCTGAATTGGAGGAATAAAGATTTCAAGGAGAGACCGGCCACAGCTCCGCGTGAACATGTATACGGGGTGGGTTTTGTTAACTTCAATATAACATCTTCTGCTATCTGGACAATGAATTTCAATTACAGGGGACCCTGAGTATGGAAATATTGTGGATGTGCTTGGAGTGGTTTAAACACGCAGTCTTGCAAAACCTTTATAGAGACACGGTTCACCTTTGCCTGGCTCTGCCGATGCACCTTCCCCTCCTGCCACCTCCTGAACAAAACGCAGAGTTTTCGTGTACCACCATTGCTGTGGAGGGTTAGACTTGAGACTGGTTTTGCTGCCAGGCGCTGTGGCGAAGCCCCGCTTCAGGGAACAGTCACAGACTTCGCCCGCGATGGGAGCCCAAAAGCTTAAGCCTAAAAGCTTAAAAAAAGCAGCCAGCCGTGGTTGTGGCAGCCCTTCGCCTTGGGTCTGACACGGTGTGCAGAGGGCAGGTCACAGAGAGCACACAATCGGCCAGGCCTAAGGAGGCAGGGAAGGGCCGGGCACTGCCCTGCGCCGCCGACCGTCCCGACAGCGCGCTACCGCCGCTCCTGCCAGCGAGAGCTCTCGGCGCTGTGGGCACGGACTGCAGCACCCATCGTGCCCCGCGGCCACAAAGCACGGCACGCCCCGCCGGCCGCCGCTCCGTTGGCATGCTGGGAGATGGAGTCCTCTCTCCGCGATAGCAGGCCGGCAGGATGGCAGCCAATAGGAGGGCTCGGGAGTGCGCGCCGCCGGCCCCTCCAGCCAATGGCACGCGGACGCTGCCTGCCGGTCCTGGCGGCTTCCGCGGGGAGCGTCGGGCGCGTCAGGGGGCGCGGCCGCTGCCGGCGGCGCCGGGCGGGACGGGACGGTCCGGTCGGGTATGGAGCGGGGCGCCGGGCCGGGCCCGGAGCTGGGCGCGGTGCTGGAGGCTGTGGAGGGGCGCGGCGGCGGCGCCGGCGACGAGGCGGTGGAGCGCGTCCTGGCATGGTACAACGAGGAGGTAACGGGTCCCATCCCCCTCCCCTCTGCGCCGCTCCCCCGGCGGTGTCGCCGCCCCGCCCCGCCTGCCGTCGGCGGCGCCGCCAGCGTCGTCCTGGTCCTCCCCGGACTAGGCTCTGCAGCGGGTCCCCAGCGCTCCCCGCTCTGCCGCCATGCCCCCTGCCCCCAGAGCCCCTGCCCGGCGCAGCCTCCCGCCCGCAGGCCGCGCAGGGCGCCGCGGCAGCGGCTGCAGGAGAGCCGGGGCAGCGGCTGCAGGAGAGCCGGGGCAGCGGCTGCAGGAGAGCCGGGGCAGCGGCTGCAGGAGGGCACAAGGGAGCACAAAGCCCATTGCCAGGCTCGGGCCCCGGCGCGTTCGGTCCTGCGTTCTGCGCGCCTCGGTGGTAGTGTGGGTTATCGGTGATGGGCTGTTCGAGGAGCTGTTCGATAGCGTTCATTTGAGTCATAAGTCTTTTAATTACTCTACCGCTAGGCAGGGGCCGGACAGAAGAACACTGAAGTCTCTCGGTACCTGCCCACCTGCCTGAGGTGCTGCCCTTTGTGGGCAGCCCTTTGTCACCGGGAATGGAGAGGGCTTTCCATCGCCTGGACAGCGACCGTGTCAGTGTGCAGGGCAGGAGGTGTGTGTGAAATGGGCTGATAGACCCCGCTTCATTTTTCCGTGTTTCTGGCCAAGCAAAGCGAAAGGGGAAAACAGCTTAGAGCAGGTCGAGCTTTTAATGCTGGCAGGTATGAACAAGTAGTAAGGGTCTACTGCTTTTGCAGTCTGATGTGGGTATGTTAGTCAAGAAGCGGTTTCCTGCTGATGTAGGGAGGTGAAAATCAGAGTGAAAATACATGTTGGGTGAATCTTTTATTTCCCCCTCCCCCTTTCTGATTTTGACACTTAGATTGTAGTAGAGCAGCACAGCCCATTCTGAAAGATTACATCTCAGCCCATCAGGTGTCTGCCGTTTGTATAGGTGCTTGTGTGACTGGTAAACAAGTCTCTAAAAGCTGGTACTGACTCAGAGTTTGGCTTTGGCTGTAATTTAAATGCAGTCATGTTGAACTAGTTATTGACTGAAATTTAGTAATCTGTTACAGGAACAAACATTCAAATCTTTAGTTAAAGTTTTGTTAAATCGCTTTGTGATTAGGGGAGAAGCCAAATGAACGTGGATGTGGTGTAGGTATTCAGCCTCTAAGGGGTGTCTTGAAATTTGCTATTTTAAGTGCAATATGTTTTACACCTAACAATGGCAATCACTGATTTCTTCACTCAAACTTGGGCCTGTAGAAGAACCTTGAGTAACAGTCTTGACATAGGCTGCCTTTGTGCAGGTGAAATTCAAAGGCAGAGACTGATGCAGCTGCAGGGCACTCTGTCTGAAGGACTGGTAGATCAGGAGTTCATGGACACATCTGTTTTAACTTGCTGACCTCTAAGGTACAGAGGAAGGATTCTGATTGAGGGACCTTTTGTCTCTGGCCTTACTCTTCAAAATGACCCTGTGTTAAATGTGTTCTGTCAAAAAGCATGCACAAGCATAATTTCTTAATTTTGCTATACTGGATTTTATGCCTTCTCAGCAGCTTTCCCAGATGAATTATTTAGGCTTGAGTTGAATCCTCAAGGACAGAGTGAGAGCTCGTGCATCTTGTGTTCTGACATTTCAAGTATTTGCATGAGGTCTTGGAGTTAAGTGTGTAGCTAAATACTTCTTTTGGAGTGGGTGAGAAACTTTAATGCTGTCTCAGTATGACGTTGCTCTTACTGCATTTCTTGTTCAAACTTTTTAATCCTATTTCCTCCATCTCTTTTTTTGTACACTTTGTTACTGACACTTTGTCTATGGGCCAGCAAAAACTGGACAGAGTACTCCAGGTTCCAGAGCTTTAGGTTTCCGTAGTTTTTTTTCCAAATAATGAATTAAATATGCTTTAGTTGAAAAGAAAGGATGGATCAAGTGTAGTTCCAAGGTGAAGGTGTCTATAAAATAACCATAATGAGAGAAATTAATAGGTCTGTAGGTGCTTCTCTGTGCTGTCCTGTTTGCAGTGATTATTCCAAATATCTGTTCCTCTACTGCTTAGGCTTGTTCTCACTACACTGCTTTTGTAAGCTTGCAAAAATGTTCATGTGCAAACATAAAGGTTGCTTTCTCTTGGTTAATTGCTCATCATTCGATGCTCACCTGTTTTTGATTGACATGTTGCTGAACTCCTGTGGTCCAGTTGGGAGCCCTGAAAGAGAGATGAAGGGAATGATTCTTCTAACATCCTCAAGGCTCTAATTGATGTTGGTAACCTTTGGTGGCTGGGTAGATGTCCAAGGCCTTTCTGTGTAGTTGTAAGCTTGGGTCATGGAAGGTAAGAAGACCCATGAATGTGCTATGGAAAGTCACTTTTGTTTTCCAGTCACTTGGATGATGTAGCAAGCTGCATGTTAGAAGTAAAAATTGAGATTTTTATTTTTTTTGAAGCTGTTCATCATGCTTGATCATTTAGATTGGAAGTTTTAAAATGTTAAGAGAACTGTCTGGTATTAGTGTTGTTTTCTTTGTCTGCTATCAGTGAAATATTACTCATCATTCTTCAGGGTGCTAACATGGAACTAGGCCTGCCTGATATTTGAAGTGTTTAATAAAAAATAAAGACTTGTAGTTAGACCATGTCTATCTTTTGTTTAACTGTAGCAGAGAAACAAATACCTTGGTAAGGTGTTTTGGAAGCTGCCAGAACACAGAAACTCATAGTTTTTGCAGCAAGGCTTATTTGATTTGTACTATTTGTTTTCTGGGCAAGATGATGCCATGGTGCTTCTGGTTTGGAACAGTCAGAGCAGTCAAAAGCTTTTAAGCAAGATCTGCTTGGGGAAGAATCTGGGTAATGAGGTATGTGTAAAACACAAGGCAATCTCTCATTTTTCACCCTGTCAAATGCCATGTGTGAGGTGGTTGACTCACATCCCACAGAAAAAAAGCTTGTTCTGCACCAGTAGTAATTGTGAAACTCTTCTTTGGAGTCACTTACTGAAGCTCTTGCTGTTGGGGAGGATGGGAAGAGGAGGGCATGGTTGTAGCCTCATTATGTGAGGCTGGGTTTAACTCCAGACTCCTGGAGTTTTGAATAGTTTTGCAGGTATTACATCCTCAGCAGCTGCTTGCTGTGCATGTAACAAACACAAACTCTTGTCTTTGCTTACAGAATCGGGCCACTTTCAGGTTTGACCCTGCAGATGAAGACAAAAGAAAGGTGAGTAAAATAGGCTGTTGAGCTGCATACCTCAATGTAGAAGTTAAAAGAGTAAAGGCAGTCTCTCAACTTAGCTGTCATTGAAATGGTGCAAGCAGTGGGTATGAAGTTATATTTTAATTGTTGCTTCTTCAGTCCAAGAGACATGACAACTACACATTCCCTTTTTTCTCTGAAAGAGAAATTCCTCTAGCAAAGCCCCCAGTGTTAAATGAAAGTAGTTACAGAAAAGCCTATAAATGATTTTGCTGGGCACGGATTTGAGATGAGGTGTAAGTGTAAAGATAGTCTTTACACTTATTTGAGGAGGAATAAGTGTAAAGATACTCTTCTGTATCTACTGAGGTAAAATTTTGCCATAGATTTTTCAGTTTTCTCTCTTCTCAGCAGGTAACAATATGACAGATGTATTTCCTGTCTATGTGAGATGCTTGAAGAACACTAGGGATTAAGATGAAGGGATAAGTACAGAAGAAAGCTATTAAGCTGTAAGGAAGACAGGGTTGCAAAGGCCTATTATTCCAAAGGTGGCTGTAATTGGTGAGATGTGGTACGTGCATGTCAGGTGTCAAAGCTGGGAAACGTGAATTGAGTTGTCCAGGTGTGGTAGGGCTTAGCACAGCCCTTGGGATCCATTCACAGCTTCGCATTTAAAGCTTGGACATGGAATTTTGTACATTTTCCTGTTGTTATTTTTAGGGTGTAATATGTAATAACAAGCCCCTTCCTTTCTGTTGTGTAATTAGCTTTGGGGCTGATTTGCATATTTATTCAGAAAACATTCATTAGTGAATGAGGATGTGTCTTTCTGCTATGTCTGGAGCAAACTCATAGCTTGAAATCAGAATCGCAGGGTTCCTACAAGGATAGCTTGTCTGAAATTGGGCACACATTGTTTCATTCCATGATCTTATGCTAAATCTAATTATTTTAAGGTGTTATTTTTTTTTTCTGATAGAAATGGATGGGATGATAAGCCTGTCAGTCTTTTGCATTTGCAAACCCATCAGTTGTTTGTACTGTAATCTTCAGTTGCAATTCCTTGTTACACAGAGGACTCAAAGACCTCTTAGCTTTGCTTTATCTATGGCTTTACTGTAAGCTGACACTCAGTGATGTGGTGATGGACTGTGTGTGTCTCTTCTGATCTGTAGAAGAACTCAGCTGGTATCTGGACTTGGTGCTTACCTCTGTTCCCTCACCATCCCTCTCATCACTTTTTACACTGTGCTTGAGCCAATGTCTAGTCTGAAAAATTGATTGCCAGCTGCAGAACACAGGAAAGGGTAAGAAAGCAGAGGCCAAATTGGCAAAAGCTAAATAAAGATAATGATCTTGGAGAGGTGAATATAAGTTACACAGTATGAGCATTTTTTTTTAAGCAACCCATACACACCAGTGACATGCTGAAAATACAAAAGATAGAAAGGCCAAAACTATGGCTTGACTGGTTAATTGGACTGAGTAAATTGCTCTGCAGTGATATATGACTATCAAAACATGATGGTTTTAGGCTGTAACTGAAGTAGATCAGCAGTGAGTTTGTGATACTGAATTCCAGGAGGAAAGTAGGTTGTGTCCTCTGGAAGACAGGAAGAGAGGTAATGCTATCAAGTTTGTCTATCTGAACATGGCCACAGGACTGTAATGCATCACAGGGTGATAAAAACACAAGATTATAATGTGAGCTGTCCTTGTATTTGTCCTGGTTGTTTGTTTAATGATGTATGTGTCTGCCTTGGCCTATCTGTGGTGAATGTTCTGGTTATAAATCAGATGGTAATCTATGTTGTACTGTAAGATCCACTCAGATACCTGGCGCATCAAGTCAGTGCCAGTCCTTCTTAACTTGTTATATACTAATAAAAAATACAAATTATGGAAGCCTGTTTTCAGTTTCTGTGTTTAAATAGTATAGGAATTGCCAACCAGAAGTAAATGTGTTCTGGAATAGCAGCTGAAATAACGTCAGTGGTGTTGTTTCTGAGGAGCTTAACGAGCTCTTAGAAGTCTAAAATATTTGTCTCAAGCAGTCAAGAAGTTTTTGGCGGTGTTTTGCTGGAAAAAGTTGAGTCTTCAGAACTGCGACACTTCACAGCACCGTGGCGTGGTTGAGACAAACAGTTGGTTCTTTAGGTCTGTTCTGGAATCCACTCCAGAAAAGTGATATGTATTAACTTGACCAGGCAGTCACCTTGGAGAGAGTTGTCAGGCGTAGTTTCTCCCTCTCTCTGGCACAGCAGGTGCTTCAGCTCAAGCTCATGTGCTAATACAAAAAGGAAAGGGTTTTTTGGACCACTTGATCCTTATTTAATAGCTTTGCTCTCCATTATTTATACTTTGTTGGGGCCAAATACTGTTTCTGAAGTAGCAACACATTTGTGCTGTTTACAGACTTCAGATGGTAAGAAAATTACAGTGCTGTTTGTGCCCTGGAAGTGTCTCTCAGCACTGATGCCTGGCTGGTCATAGCATTCCACAGCTGGAAGTTGCCACGGCACCATTTGCTGTGATATAGCAGATAGTAAATCTGTCCAAGATGGCAAATAGGGCTTTTTAATTTGGATGAGGGCACTGAGTTTGCAAGAGGAAGGGGAAAAAAAGGAAGCAGTAGCCAAATGTAAGAATATGACTTACAAGCCATATTCTTACCTGACATGACTATTTCCTCTTCAGCTCCATACCTTTCTGTCTGTTTCACCTCTTGTAGTACTTGCAGCATCTGCTGTATTAAGTCCAGCTTACTGTGGTGGGTCTTTTAATAGAAATCTTCAGAATTTGAGACCAGTGTTCTTGATTTATTGTCTAGGTTCAATTTGAACATGATGGATCTAAAATTCAGTGGGAAGAAAATCACCCAAAACAGTCTTTTCCCCTTGCATTGCTGAGTGTTTTCAAGGTGTTGAAATAGCTGGTGGTAAATCATATCAAATGTATTGTGGGGCTTTCTCTACCAGTTAAATTCATGATGTGGGGAGATTCTCTAAGTCTGTGGACAGTATGATATTTTAACTCTGGAAGGAGTGAAGTACATTGATGGAGCAAGATGCTGTCACACTAAATCTTAGAAGAACCTCATTCTTAAGTTAGTGCTGTTGATGCTGTGATGCTTCAGGGATCTGAAGGTTCCTTCAGCCGCCAAGGCACAGTTTTTCTCCTCCCAGTAAATATGGGGTAAGCTTTTCAAGTCTATTAATGAGTGTCCTGTAACAATATTAAGCTCAGGTTCTCCTGTGGGCACATTGTGTGGTATCTTAGTCATTGTTGCTACTGTTCTGACTTTACCAAAACCCCTAAAGGGAATACCAGTCTGTAAGAAGAAAAAAGTACCTGCGTTAATACTGAGCATTTGTTCTAATTCCCTCTGGTCCTGCTAGTTCCCATCCAGCAGTTTTCAGCTTTTACTGAAACCTCTTAAGGCTCATAAAATGCATCTCTCGTTTTAACATCCTTCTTTCACCATGGGATTAGAGAGGGTAAAAGGGTTCTCCCTCTCCCTGTCCAGTGAGGTGAGCAGGGGCTGCTGTGAGTGCAGGTACACAGGATTTAACCTTTCTGTGACTCTGAAGCAAGTGTTTAATCCACCTGTTCTGACAACAGGGATTGCTCAGTGTGCTCCTCATCTCACCTGCAGAACTGTCGTGCTCTCACGTGTTCAAACCTTCAGCTTGGAGCTGTGCCATGTCAGAGCTGGCAGGCTCCTGCCAAACAGCCAACCTCCCGCTGCCAGTGCGGGCTCAGCAATGAAGTGCTCAAAAGAAAGCAGGCTGAATCCTCAAGGAATGCAAATATACACCTTCCCACCCACATCTGTCCACAAAGACTAGGCAAAAATTTGGCACGGTCTTCTCAGGGGAGGTTATCTAATTCTCCTGTTATTCAGCACAGTTGATGATACGTGTTGTATAAATGTTGTCTTGACTTCCAGAGAAATGAAAGTTGTAACTAACATTTCAGATATTCTTGGGCTTACTTTCTCACTGCCATGGATGCTGAGCTCTGAAACCTAACAGACATTTAAACACAGAAACTGAAGAGTTGTGCTCCCCTTTCCATCCCCTCCCCTCAGCCCAGCCTAATCAGCCTGTAAACAAAGATAGTGGAAGGTGATGGAAGTATTTGGCCCAAAGTCACACAGCAGGTCTGTGGCTGAGCAAGGGAGAAAACACAGGTCTCTTATTTCTCAGGAGAGGTCTTTTTCTACTGGGGTGTGTTGCTTCTTAGCATCAAGGCTTTACGCTGTCAAGATCAAGGACCAAAATAGGTTAATGGTTTATTTGTCAAAACAAGATGACAAATGGGTTTTTCTGGCCTTCCTGTTTTAACATAAGATTTAATACTGCAGTCTAGACAAAAGGAATAGTGTGCATTGTTCTGTGTTAATCTTACTATTAGCACAAAAGCTGAGAAATCTTGAATTTTGGAGAAATGAATGGATTTTACAATAAAAAGTTAAAACTAGAAACTGCCTTGAGTCTGTGAAAAAGTATATGAAAAACATTGCTTGCTGTAGCACAGTTGATGAAAATCAAAATGTTATCTGGATGTTGAAAGGATAGAACACCAAACAAAGAAATGTTAAAATCTTGCAGTGACCTAAAGGGTAGCAAACAAAGGCCCTGAAACTGGAACAATCATCATATGTGTTGTGAAAGGGGGAGGTACCTTCCTGTCTGAATTTTCACTTGCTTTCATTTCCAACCACATAAATTAAATCTGTGCCCCTTAGTTTATGCCATACTAATGGCCTACAGGGTGGTAGAAAGAGCATCCCCTAAAGAAAATGAAAAGCATAATAATGTTGTTGTAGTCACATCTCTTCCTGTTTCTCTTCTCTCTGTGCATCATTTCCCTTGTATCATCAAGGCCAAAACAGAAAATGTGCTGTATGGCATTTGGTTTTAATTGTCTCCAAGGCAATTTCCTAATAGGGTGAATCTTTCCATGGATAGCACTGCAATTATAATCAGATACTCTAGCTTTTCCTGAGCTGCTGATGGCTCTTGGGATCAGCCAGCAGTGGTTCACTGTCACAGATACCCTAACTGATTGCTGCTCCCTCTAAAATCACTCTTGATGGCTCACTAGGTCTTAACTCCAGAGAACTTTGTCAGCAGTTAAGTTGTAATCAGGTTGCTAAATATCTAAAAAAAAAAAGTTCTATTTAATATCTACCTTTAGTACAACTATTTAGCGTTAAGACTCTTCTGGTGCTGCATTTCACTATGATTTGAAGCCTAGAGATGATTTTATATTTTTAATTAAATTTTTATATTTTAATTAATATTTATTTTTTAATTAAATGTATTTTAATTAAATGTATTTCTTAATTAATATAAATTAATATTTATATTTTTTAATTAAATGTCATTTGCTGTATGGAGGGCAGGCTAGACTTCCACCTCTCATAGCAAGTCAGCAGGAGGTTGTTGCCCTTTGGCATCTCTCCTGCTGTGCTTTTGACATTTTCTAGTGACACTTTCATAACAGCAGGTGAATAGAACTTATGAGAACTTATGGGGGAAAAAAATTAAGTCAGAATTTGAGCAGCTTGGTTTCTTTGTAATCAAATAAGTGTTCAGAATCTGGATAAATTGTTACAGACCACCTTGTAGCAGCTGTTACCAACAAGGAAGACAGCAACTGCTAGATCTAGTTGAAAAGTGCTTAAACACTGAATAAACTAGTATTTTTCTATAGTTCTGTGAACTGTCTGTTCAGTTGTGTGTTATTCCTCAAAACCAAACAGACTCCACACTTCAGCTTGCAAAGCAGAGTTAATTGTATGGAAAACTCTCAGCAATAGAAAGTGAACTCTTGTAAGAAGTTGAGCTGTGACTAGGTAATTTGACTGTAGATCCAGACTGGTCATTTTTTGTTTTGGCCATTTTTAAAAACACTTCCAAGTTGCCACCTTCAGAAACATTTAGTGCAGGTCTAGCATACCACACTTACATCAGGGAGTTGTGCAGTTCTGTGTGAGCAGCATTAGGTTAATGGTGAAGAACTCTGTACTTAAGTGTCTTTTTCCAGCCACAGTAAGTACCTAGATGCCTGTACAGGTGGTCACATGTGGGTTTTTTAATGCTGTAGTGTCTAGTATTCTGATAAAATATTTCTCATGTTGCATTTGTGGTAAGAGGTGGGGCTCATTCCTTGTTTTCAAACTCTTACTGGATTAGTCTAGTCAGGGCTGTGGAAATGCAGTCAAGATCTTGGTTGTCTGGGTGATGCTTTTGGGTGGGCTTAACCCCAGGACAAGCATCCTAAAAATCATATTGCAAGTTCCTACTGTTTGACTTTGTTTACACATTTTCTTTTAATGTTGTTGAAGTTAAAAGAAAACCAGTTTAAGTTGTGGGTTGTTTGCTCTGGAGTGTCTGTTCTAGATGTGCTTTAGATTTAATGTTCTTGCTTTTGTTCATTTTTTAATTTTGACTTTAATTGTAAGTCATCACAGTAACAATATTGGCTTACATGTCCCAAGCGGAACCTTTCTTTTGAAATTTGAGTCAGGGTCATGGGCTTCTGTGCTCCTCACCTTTTCATTGTGGTGGTGATAGTGAAAGTGGAATTCCAGAGACCATTCACCAAGAACCGTTTTATACTTTACTAGTATCCCTATGCTTTTTGTAATTATTTTCGTGACACAGACTGCCTGAGATCACAATATGAATTTTGGGTCCTAAGTAGACTTCTGCACTAGGGCTTTTCCACTCAGTGGCTGCTCTGGCTTCTTCAGTAATTTATTCATGTTGGTAGTCAAGACACCAAGCTGGGGAGGAAAGGAGCATGGAGAAACTGTGTCCTAGGAAGTACAGTGCAGTTTCTATTGTGTTGGAAATTTCTTTGTGACTATACTTCTGATGCTAGTACCCATGAATAGTAATGTTGTCTTGTGCATAAGGCATAAAAACTCAATGGAGTCCTCTCACATCAAGCAATCTCTTCTGGCCTCTCTTTTCTCCCCTTTGGTTGATTGTCCATTTCTGTCTTAAAAGGTAATAAAAGGTAATATATATAAAAGGTAAATAAAAGGTAATGCTTCTGCAATTCAGATGTTACAATTCTGACCTGCAGATTATTGGAGTGTTGTATTTTCCCATGCTGCATTTATGTGATTATTTACCCTTGCAGTCCTGTTGATATAAGGAATATGTGAACTATTTTGACATCAAGAACAATCTGTGTTGATAAAGCAGCAGCTTTGCTGGTTTGGTAAAACTGCTACAGACTGCCTTCAAGGAAAAATGCGTTATGTTTCTGTGTCAGAGGTGTTATTTCTGAGAGTCGTACTTAAAATGGGAGAAGTATGTTGGTTAGGTTGAAGAGGCCACATAAATTACAGGTGTTACCAAACGTGGAGTACTAATCCTTGTATGTTAGGTAGAAGTTATTTTGGTTTCTTTTTCTCACAGCTTCCTGACTGAAACAACCTTAACTTAAAATTCTGTAGGTGCTGTAGGTGTGGCTGTTGTACTTGGACATAATTTTGCTTTCACTTCTCTCTAGCTTTTTTATTCTTCTGGAGTTTTTAGTCCTGATACTGTAACTGGCAGTGGTGGGTAACAGCTGCTATTTTGGCTTAATGCTTCTGCAAATGTTGATGTATTTGGATTGTGTCCATGAGGAAAGCTGCTTTTGGTTCTCTCTGGAGACCTTTGGTAACAGTGCATATTTTGAAGCGCTAATATGCAATACCTAGTTTCTCAAGTCAGATAAATCCTCAAATGTTATATGGAAGCTTAGCAAAGTAGTTTCTTATTGCCACCAATATTTTGACACTAAAACTGTTCCCTTTTTCTTTGTACTTTGCCTAGAAACTGTGTGAGGGAATTCTAAACATCCTTGAAAACGACACAAAAACTTCATGTCAAGTTGCCTGCCTGGAGGCCCTCCGGATTCTCTCCAGGGACAAGAAGGTTTTAGTGCCTGTAACCACGAAGAGAAACATGCAGATCCTTATGAAGCTAGCAAAGCTGGACACTGTGGAAGATCCACTGGAGAGAGTATCTGAATTTCCTGTGATAGTAGAAGCCTTAAAATGCCTCTGTAACATAATTTTTAATAGTTCAGTTGCACAGAAGCTCAGTTTGGAACTGAATCTTGCAGCAATGCTCTGCAATCTTCTGCAGAAATGTAAGGACCGGCAGCTTGTTGATGACATTAAATGCTTTGATTTGCGTCTCCTCTTCCTCTTGTCGCTTCTGCACACAGATATTAGAGCACAGTTGCGCCAGGAGCTACAAGGGGTGCAGGTTTTGACTCAGGCTTTGGAGAGTTCCCTGAGTGTAAGATGGACAGAAGAATATAAGGCAGCAGAAGATCGTGACAGGCCTCCTCTATCTTTGCAAGAGACAGATTGTGCCATTGAGGCACTAAAGGCTCTGTTTAATGTAACACTTGACAGTTGGAATGTCCACAGCAAGGTAAGACTGAGCTGAAGTGCTTTTTTCAATTGATTTTCTTTAGCCTGCAAGAACCAGTGGATAGATTCACAGGAGGCAGTTGCTGTTCCTGTTACTACTTGGGCAGAAAATCTTATCCATACATTTTCTGTGTATTGGGAGAGCTGCATGGCTTGCCTAATGCAAGTTTAAACTGTATGCTTTTTAATACAAAAATGCAGAAAACACTATTTCATAAAAGTCTTGGATTTCAAAAAGAAAATAAATGTTGTTCACTAATAATTAGCTGGCTAGGAAAAACTTCTTTATCTAAGTGTACCAGATGGTTGCATCTCTGGAGGTTGTGGACTATGGCAGTAGGGCAATGGGTAGAGCTGAGAGAACTCCCTAGTTTTTCTGTTGCATGATAAGTACATCAACTCTCATTTTTAACAAATAACTTTGATGAAAGAGTGCTACTGTTAATATCTTCGTCCCATCCTCCCAACACCAGCTTTGGACTTCAATATTATTTTTTAGATGAGATCAAGTACAAGAACAAAATACACTTTCATTGTTATGTCTTATGAATAAGGTTTTTCTTGGTTTGTTTTCATTATTATGTCAGATTTTTTTTTTTTTCTTAGCTAAATATGCTTCCTATGTGTGTCATCCTTAAATTTATAAACAGAAATTACAAGGGTAACTTTTCTGAATAATCTGAGTCTCTGCTAAAGCAGGAGAATTATATAGGGAACCTTTCTTTATAGTCCACATCATAGTCTCTAGAACAGTGTTATTTACTTTCCACTGGACATGGTAAATATGCATCATATAAAGCTGATCAAAATTCTACAGTAGTTAAAACTTGCAAATAGTCGTTCTTTTTAGTGCATTGGACTAAACAGCAAATCAGATATTAATTATAGCTTTAAGGAATGTAAAACTTGAGCAAAGTTGGAATTTTATTCTTTTCTTTAATGTCTCAAGGATATGCTGAATAAGAAGTCCTGAAATTTAAGATTAAGTGTTGGAGGGGCTAGAGAAGCTAATATTTGGGTTTCAAGGAAATAAAGAAAGTGAAGTTTCTTCTGTTTGTATTTCTGACTTAGACCCTTATTAAAAGTATCTTTAACTTTGTCAAAGTTCTTTGTATAGACAAGTGATTGTTCTGGATGTAAAAAAGCATGTAACAGTTATATGGAAAGTTGGAAAAAGAAACTGTATTACATGTTCACCTCTTGAGAGATAAGCTCTTGATATCTGGAAGTTGGTTTACTTTTACAAAATCCTGAATCTGGAGAGTTGTAAATCCCAGCTCACTGTCTTTTCCTTCTTAATATCCTGAGCATGCATGTGGCTTTTTCTTTTTTTTTTTTTTTTTTTTTTAATGAGAGTTTAAGAAACCCCAGGGAAGGAGAAGCTTATTTGCATTTTGAGATGAAGCTTAGATAATAACTCTTTACTGGAAATTCCTAAAAGCAGAGAACTTCTAAATTAAAGAACTTTTTAGTGGATGTTAGGTGTTAGCCAGATATGTTAGGTGACATTCTGCTTAGTGAATATTCCAGTGGCAATTTTAATGGTCTGGGAGAAGAGAGAAAGCAATGTTAATCAAGTGGGCTGAAGACACAGAATTTGAAGAAATTCCAAACAGCAGAACACATGGAAAATAAAAGGGGAGCAGAGAGGTTGGGTGGAAAGCTAAACAAGATCTATCCTAATGTGGAGAGAACCATTGGAAACACCAGTATTTTATGACTGGAGTTGGTTTCAAAGTAGCAAAGCCAGACAAGAGCTGCAGATGGTACGCTTGGCAGATTTTGATGTCGATGCTACAAAAGATGCATTGGGTGCTTTGTGCCAGGTCAAACACTCCAGAACATATGCCAAGAAGAGCTGTTGAAAAAGGGTGAGGACAACGATACAGAGTTAAATGGTTGCAGTTACTGGTGTACTATTGTGTGGCTGCTGTCTGGTGGGAGATTGGAAGTGGGGGGATTACTTGGAGAGAGGAAAAGTTAGGGCAAACAAGGTTGCTGAGAAGTTATTAATGGAATGGAGGAAAGGTATCAAGGGAATTAGAAAAAAGAGACAGACTGGGTGAAGGGAATGAAACTTGGCAGCAAAGGGCATAAATGAGGAGAAGACAAATTCAATGAAGAACATGCATAATCTAAATGGATGAAGAGGTGGCCTGGTGTAAATACAGGAAGTAAGAGGGTGGTGTGTTAGGAATAGTGGTATGGAATTGAGCAAACATTTGTAACTGGGTTTTCTACTAATGAAGGCTGATTTAACTGAAAAACCTCCCCAGTGAGTTTTACAAGGCCTAGTTCAAAGTCAGCTTATGAGGGTTATGCATCATTAAGCATTCAGTGAAACTAAGGTACAGTCCTTTTATTGATAGGGATGGATGCTATGATCTAATAGGTATTTTCCATCTTTAACTTTTATTATTCTAGTGACCTGAAAGCCTTACTTACAATCTTCAAAATGAAAAAATATCTTCATAATTTATATTTATATAGAATGAATCTCATCAATTTCGTTACATGGCTGCCATCCTTCGACATTGCTTATTAACCACGGGCCCTACTGAAGAAAAAACTGAAGAGTTGCACAGGTTGGTAGAATTGCAGAACCAATCTATGTTAAAAGGTTTTTGTTTGGCTGGTTTTTCTATATAGAAATTACTTTGCCTAAAATCTAAAGTAAAAATCTGAGAAACAATGAAAACTTTATTTATTTTGGGTTAATATTGTTAATCTTTTTTTGATGAAAGCTGTTTTCCTCAAACTTTAAGCATATCCAGTTTCCCAGAGAGAAGGTGGCTGGTAAGATTGTTATTTTCTAACTGATAATGAAGCTCAACTTTTTTAAATTTTGGTTTTATGTTTATGTGTGTGTATCTGAGGATGAAAATACATATAGAAGTTGTAAATGTAGTTCAAATTGAAGTGGAATGCAACTTCTGCTGTTTTGCACAGTAAAACTAATAGAAACACTACATTTTGAGATTTCTATATGTAAATTTTGTAGTTCTGAGGAATTGGGGTGGAAGTAACAAGTTGATATTTTATCCTAATAGTTCTAGTCTGCTTTATTGGAAGTACCAATAATTTTCCTTGGTAATAAATTTTTTTTTTCAAAGATGAGTGAATCACACAGTTTTAAGTGTGTGGTTTGTTTTGGTGTTTTTTGTTTTTTTTTTTTTTTTTTTTTTTGTTTTTTTTTTTTTTTTTTGTTTGGTTTGGTGTTTTTTTGTTTTTTTGTTTTTTTTTTTTTCTCAGTCCTGCACCCAACTGTTATATATTGGCAGCCAGTAATTCAATCAAAATTCAGATTATTTGTGGTGAGGTGGTGGGCCTTTGTTTAGTGTTACTGTTCTTTCTCTATGGCACCCTTTTTTTTTACCTAGTAGGTCAGCTGTTCACTGGGCCTGACAGTACAGTCGGTTCCCTTAGCACTGAAATGTTGCCATTTTCTTCTTCAGAGACATCTGCATATCTGACTGTAGGATCTCTAGGTCTTCTGAGCCAGTCTCTTGTAAGAAGGATACAGCTTTTCATACCCAGCAATCTTGAAAGTGTTAAATGACCTTGATGAAAATCTTGGAAAGCTCTTAGAGATCAGCATTCTTAGGAGGTGAACACTAAAATCCTACTTCAGAGCCCTTCTCAGTTGGTGCAGACTAGTTTGGAATAATTTAGGATACTGCTACAGTAGTTGCCATGCCTGAAGTTAGTGCTGTATCCTAAAGGGCCGTTAGTGTTTTCTCTTTGCTGCTGCTTATGGTGGGTGCTTTATGCTCTCAGCCTTCTTTAAGGGAGGGACTGGCAGGAATAAAATCCCTGCTGCTGGGAGAATTTAAAAGTTTTGGATAAAATCAACAATTAGAGAGAGTTACAAGAACTATTATACAGCTGATGCTCTTCCCAAGATCTGTTCCTTTGTCCAGAAATCTGACTAGTCTGATCACCCTGTTAAATATATCACCCTGTAAAATTTAATTGTCTTGTGCTATTGCAAAAGGATGCAAGTTATGCAGGTCCTTTAGGTTTTAGCTTTTGCTCACACTTGCATCTGAGATCCAGAAGGGGGTTTATATAAGAAGTAGGCAGCTGTGAAGATGGTGTAGTGTTGGTGTGATTTCTGTCCTTGCTTTTTTCAGTGTCAAAGGAGATTTTTTGTAGTAGTGCTGCCCACTTGGGCCTTATGGACACCAATTCAAAGCAAAGGTTCTCCATAAGAACCAATGAGAGGGAGAAGCAGAAAAGAAATGAGGACACACATCACTGCCTTGTATCGAGGCAGCTGTTCCCCCTTCTCCAGCAGAGACTCAGTATAGCACTGCATTAGTCTTTCTGCTGTGCTGAGAAAACAACTTTGTCCCTCAGTTAGCAAACTGTAGTTGGTGAAGTTAGCTGAAGAGTAAAGAATGCCAGTATAGCATTGTTGCTTATGGTATTCCATCTTGATTTGTGTGCTGCAAGAGCACCGTGCAGGATTTGACTGCTGCAATTCAAATATTTCAGTCTTTTTGCTGAACCTGAGTTGTGTCTTTGAATGCTTTCAAGGATGCAATAAAAGCTGAATAATTGGATACACTTTTCCACCAAGACTGTTCATCACAAGGCAGCTCTGGAATAGAAGAGCTATACTCAGAAGTAATGCCCCTGCAAATCCTCAAGGGGATTGGGGCCTGCATCAAAGGGGCCCCACTTCAGTCCCCTGATCTATTTGGACAAGCAAAACTCAATTCCTGATAAGAGCTGCACTAACAAATGAGTAAACTGTTGTTAGCAGTATGTAGCTAAAAGAGAGAAGCCTCTGTCATCATTTGGGCCGTTCAGCATGCTGGACTCTGACCGTGAAATCTTTATTGCTAGAGATGAGGTGTGAGTCAGAGAGCAGAGCACAACTTCCAGCTCTGCTTTCCTCCTGGAACCTGTCACTAAGGCAATTATGAAAACTGTGTTAAAAATAAAATGAAATACAAACAGTTGTGAATGCAGAATAAACTGTATGACGCATCAGGGAGATATAAATAGATTTCTTAAGATTGCTGATCATTTGCATTTCCCTAAGTTTGTAAATCTGCAGGACCTAAGATGCTTCAGTGAAAGGTTTGGTCAGCCTGTTACAGCACATCGTTTGAATGCCTGTGCTCTGAATGTGTAAGTTGGAGATTTATTTTAGGTGAACAGTGAGTGTTGGACGCATGCCCTGAGCCACGATGTACTGATTGTCATTGTGACTATTTCTAATAAAAAAGCAGAAGTTAGCCATAAAATATCCTAACTACTTTAGTACCCAGCATTGTCGTTGTGGTTCTGTTGCGGCATTGCTTAATGTTTGAATATGAACAACTTAAAGTACCACATGTTAGAGTGAGTGCCATTTTTGCCCACTAACAAGGTTTTAATCAAGGCATTCACTGGCTCTAAATAGGCCTTTGCTTCTGAATTTGCATATCAGGAGGGGGCTGGGAGCATGAGTGGGTAGATGTCATGTCCCAGTGATTAATGATCTGTAGGAAGCCAAAAAGGGGAGAGTAATATACGCAGTATTTCTACCCCCTGGAGTAGGAATGCAAACACTATTGTGCATATCTGTGCATAGTCACTGACTTCCTGGTAGCTGGAGAATTTCATACACTCCTCTGCCACAAATAAAACTGTCAGTGGAGTGACAAAGATCAGAAAGCCGGGCTTCATTTATTGAAAAGAATAGCTCAGGCACAGTGATCCAGAAAATTAATTTTGTAGGTGTTTGGGAACTTGGTTGTTTAATAAGAAACTGGTAAAAAGAGAACTTTTGATGAAAGGCCTGAAGCCATCAAATATTTGTTGAATTTCTTCTGTTTTGTTTCTGACTATTCCTGAATTATTGGAGAGGAATAACTTCCGTGATATAAAGGACATATCTTGAGCAGGATTTAGAAAGAAAACAAAGAGAACAGGCGTTCCCAAAAATAATAGTGGTCTGAATTTCAATTACTAAAAGAGCAAAAAGGAGATGGCACAGTGTGGAACAGCCACCCAGTCTGATCAAACCAGAACCAGAACATTTGTTAGAAATCCTGTTACGGTCTGATAGCCATGGTTGGCTTTCTCTTTTGCTAATTCTTTGTTAGAATTGTATTAATAACTTAGAAACAGAGGGCAGCTTCTAAGTAGATATTATTAAAAGTCTTAAATGAAGTTGTTTGAAAAGTTTTCTCCATTCTTGGAGCACTTCACCAGTCCTTGAAACATGAGTGCTCATTGGTTCATTGATGGCTTTGAGGTCTGCACGGGTGAGCCTGAATAGTTTTTGTGCTATTTCTAAATACATCCATTTATAAGTTTAGTTGGACATCAGCAAGTAAATAATGACGGAATTCTAATTTTTGCAGCCTCTGCCTAATTTCTCCCAGTGTTCAGGAACAGTACAAGCCCAAGCCTGTACAGTGAGAACAGGGTAGATAGCAAATTCAAGGCATGTGTACCCTGCAAGAGACCCTTGCAAAGTAAGTCCCACCTTACTCCATTGAAGAGGAGGGAGGGACCCTGTGGCCTAATCAAAATAATTTAATGGCTCTTTGGAAACGCTCCTCTTTGTGTCCTAGAATGAGAACACAGCCAGTTACTGAAGGGTAGTACTTGGTAAATAAACCTGAGTCTTTTTTTAATGTGTTAAATGCCTTCTGTATTTCATATATATACTGCAAGCTAAATAAAAACAAAAATATTTCAGGGAACCTAAGAAAAGGCCACTTTGCCCCCCTGTTACAGCAGGAGGAAATATTGTCCATATTGTATTTTGCCATACTAATGTTGGTAATGTGGATGTATGGTAAAATGTTTTACGTTTCAAGGAGGAAAAAACTGTGACTACTGCAAATCGATGTGAGAGTTCCCCCTGCTGTCCTGCAAGATCAGCTGCTGTAGCGTGCTGCTGGAAGCTGTGCCTTATCCATGGGATGAGATGCTGTGGGGGCTGGAAGTAATCGTGCACTGCTGCTTTTGGAACGTTTTGTCTTTCTTTTTCCTTGTTTGTTCCAAGAGTCAGCGCTCAGGCGATAATGCAGGCCACCTTCTTTAAAACCCAGAGAGGAGAAAATAAAGCATTGTTTGAGTTGTAGGGCCTCTTTTTGATTGCAGTTGTACAAGCAGTTTATGGTGAGTTGTACTCTGTTTTTAATTCTTTCTTCCAAATGAATAATGAATTTTTGAAATCTGTTTCAGCAATGCAGTCAACCTCTTAAGCAATGTTCCTGTTTCTTGCTTGGATGTTCTTATTAACCCGTCGTCCCAAGAGGAAACAGATATAAAATACAATGGTATGAATATGGGAGCTATTCAGATTTTACTGGATTTCATGGAGAAGAGAATAGACAAGGTATGGACTGCAGGGATTTTTCACAGAAGAGGCCTCTTTCACTAAGGCAAAAAGTGCACATATATCAAGTTTTTTATAAACCTTTCAGCCAGTACTTAGCACAAATATGGATGTCCTACTAAACTGTGAAACACCTCCAAATTCCTGTGAATACCTGAAGCTATTTGCTGTGTGTCTGAGGGTGAACATGTGGCTCTTGACATAAAGTTCATATTTTGGCTCTCATATAGAACTTTATTGAAGCATTCATAGAATTTGAAAAGGAAAGTTTGCTCTTAAAATGTTTTATTTGTATTTGGTTTTATTTTAGGGAAGCAGCTACAGAGAAGGTCTGACTCCAGTTCTCAGTTTATTAACTGAATGCTGCCGAACTCACAGAAATATCAGGAAGTTTATCAAAGCTCAGGTAGGTAAAATTAATCGAAATTTGCGTTTGAAGCTAGTGATGAACTTGGAGGTTTGTACATCAGTGCAGGACAGTGCTGTAGAAATAATTTTTCAGTCACATAAATCAATAGATATATATGGCCTGAGTTCCATGATACATTTTGTAGAGCTGTTAAATAATAACATCAGGGATATTGTAAAGCTGTGTGAATGTGAGTCACCATGGATCTTATGAGATGGGTAAAAAACTCAGTAAGGTCTGTTCCCTTACACTCAGCAAATACGAAACATTTCAGTGCAGTTAATTAGACTTTGCAAAGCTGTGTGGTGGCAAGTGAGAGTACAGGTCTTTTGATGGGTTCTGCTTGAGGTTTAGTTTTACCTCAGCAGGAACAAGTTGTTTGGATTAAGACTTGTGTACCAGTGTGTATCAGCTGTCCTGTCACAGTAAAAGTGTCCCTGGACAGAGGCACACTTCATCACTTTATCTCTTGTAAGAACCCTTTATTACAGTATGGACTGTGGCTTTTAACAGGGAAGAAGATTTCTGTGCCATGGTTAATGACCTGAAGGATCTGTGTAGCTTGGTGGTTGAGTGTGGTGTTTTCTGTTTGTTTTGCTGCTTTTCCTGAGGTCGAGTGGAAAGAAGTTGAAAGATGAGCACAAGAAAGAAATTGCTCCTCTGGCTTCTGCTGTCCTTATCCTAAGCTGCAGTCACTTTTGAGTTGCATCCTAGATGCTGCTCCCAGATCAAAGCTGTGCCTGAGTTCATAAATGGAATTTAAAATAAAGAAGAGCATATATTTTCTGCCTTTTTCATCTATACCAGAAAAATGGTTTTGAGGAATTTAAGAAACTTGTTCTTGTTGGTTGTTTGTTTTTGTTCACAGCAGTTAGTTTTTAGGATACTTTGCTGATCTGTTAACTTCCAAAAAAAAAAAAAAAAGTTGCAGAGCCAAGTGTACAGAAGCTAGAAAATGAAGTTGTCTGCATGTTTTTACGACATCTGGGCATCTCAATGTCAGGATATAATTGCATGCTGACTCCTGCCACAGGACCACTGCCTCATATAGTGCAGAGAATGGATGGATGTTGCTAACTGCATGACTGGATGTTTGATATTTTAAATTACTCTCATTGTTAAGTTCTGGCCTTGGGCTTTATTTATTGTGTGCTATTCAAATTGTAATCTGAAGACAGGATGATTGATTTCCTCATGGACTGTCCTATGGCACTCATCACTGTATTAGTATTAGAGTACTCTAAAAACATTAATTCATTCTTACAACACACTGGGAAATGGCAGTCATGGTACAATCCCCATTGGGGGGAGTAAGCAGGGACAAAGTAAAATGTTTTTGCTAATTGTTTGAATACTTGGTTTGAAAAAGACAGGGTCTGTTTTATCCAAAGCAGTCAGTACTGTAGCATTCATGTAAGGATCCGTTCCCAGTGAGTCCAATTTCAGCAGTAATTGTGTTGTAATTTTGCAAAGGACATGGCACTTTACGTTAGACACCTAGAAAACAAAGGACTTGCAATTTCTTGTGATAGTGACACGCCTTGTTTTATTCCCTAATAAAATATTGAAGATCCATAATTCTTATTATTAGAGTCTTCAGATCATTAAATATTTCATATTATGGCCCAGATTTATTTGCAGATCATATAATATATCCTTTGAATGTGAAAAAATTTACATAGATTTTGACTCTGAAGGCATCCACACGAGGAGGCACAAGTTAGTTTGCGTCATTCCTGCATTACCTGCGTTTCTTGAGGGTTGAAGTTAACAATATTAATGACCTCTAATGAGAAAATAGTGTATTTGAGGAAATGTTAAATAGTGATTTCTCCAAAATATTTCTGAAATTTAGCTTGAGCTTTTAAAAGTGTTATGTGGTTGAAGTATGTGTTTCCTCTCTATGTAGAGCCCATTTTTGAAATTGAGTAGTAGAATTTGCAGTGTACTTATTTTCCTGCTTATTCATTAAGCACCTCATTGCTCTGTATAAACTACAGAGTGTTTTAAGAGTGTGAGCTTCCTTAAACTCGTATTTCTGGTACTTTTACAAAATACACGAGGAAAACAAAAGAAACAGAGAGCATGAGATTGTGGCTGCCTGTTGACCAACTCTCCTGGGACACCCATTTGTGCTCATAAACTCCTAATAATTGTATTTTTAAAATCTACATTTGAGACAGCATTTTTCTGCCCAAAATGACAGACTAGAAAACTTAAATATAATAAGAAGCAACAGTCACTATTAATGCATGTGAGCATAGTTGTCTGATTTTTATTGCTTTTTTTTTTTTTTTTTTTTGAAGGAAAGAGTATTTTTTTGTTCTGTTGACTACATTTGTTTTTGCAAATATTGGTTTTGCAAGATATTTCCATGCATTTTATGCTGTTCTTCCCTTTCTTGTGTGCTGCCAGGTACTGCCCCCATTAAGAGACGTCTCAAACCGTCCTGAAGTTGGCACAACAGTGAGGAACAAGCTTGTGCGCCTTATGACACACGTTGACCTTGGAGTAAAGCAAATTGCAGCAGAATTTCTTTTTGTTCTTTGTAAAGAGAGAGGTAAAAATTACTTTTTCTTCTCCCTTTTGTATCAGGTCTTGCTGTAATTGGTATATTTGCCTCTTGCTGTAACTCCCAATTCTGGTAGCACTCTGGTGGGGTTTGTTTTGTAGCTGAGTACAATTTATACACAATGAATAATTTGTGTATCCTTTTTGCAGTCGATAGCTTGTTGAAGTACACAGGCTATGGTAATGCAGCAGGATTGTTAGCAGCCAGGGGCCTGCTAGCAGGAGGAAGAGGAGATCATTGGTACTCGGATGATGAGGATACGGACACAGAAGAATACAAATCTGCAAAGCCAAAGTATAGTATTGTTTTCAATTTCACATATCCTGTTGCATTTTGGATTCTTTTGATGTAATTCTGGGGGGTTTTTACCTTTTTCAGAGAGGCCAGTTTTGCAATGGTGTGTGCTTCTATTAACTCCTGTCTTCTGCTGGTTTCATGGTCTAGTTATTGAGAAACCAGCCTCTAATAGTGACTATCATGTAGTCATATATGGTTGCAGGGGAGAAAAAAAGTTACTACGAGAATGATGTAACATCTGAATAACTACTTAAAATTCAAGTATGGAAAGACATTTTTAAGGAAGTGATAGTAAAAAAAAAAAATTAGTGGCAAACTTAGCAAGGATGGGTCTTGTCCTGGATTTTTGAGGAACTCACATGACGTTTGCCAAGCCATTAACTATAGTTTGTGGGGTATGGGGTCAGATATGGCTAAAGGTTTTAGCCAGAGCTTTGTTAAAAAGGAGAAAACCAGTAGGTTTTGTTTTGGTTTTGACCAAGTTTCAGATTGCCTGGAATTTTTCAGATTGCCTAAAATTTTCCTGAAAAACCAAGTAGGTCACATATGTAAATATGGGAGGAGCAAAATAACTTGTATAGAAGTCATGCAGCAGGAATCCAATATATTTGTTTAAAGAATTCAGTGACCATGTAGAAGCTCTGTTGATTTTTATTAGTTGTAATTGATTGGGTACTGGAGGTTTTAATTTGTCGTGTTAAGTCTAGGATTTGATGCCATTTTAAAGATGTTCTGAAATTGTAGATAGGGGACATCTGAAGTGTTAATATTATTCTTCTGTTTTACTCTGTTTTTCTTGAATTACACAGACATGATTAGGTGTATGGTGGGTGCTTGTGGTTTATTGAAGGATTCCTATTAAGGTACATGAACAAAGGACAGGATTAAATGTATGAGACTTAGGAGTTACGTTGCTTCTATGCTAAGAAATTAGCCGTAAATCAGGAGGTTTCTCTTTATTTCTGCACTTCGGGATTTTTTTCTTGCTGTTTCCTCTCTGCTGTTCTTTCAAAAGCCTGGCATTCACTTATATACATATAAGTAAAACTATAACATCCATTTAGTTAAAAGCTAACACTTACATGAAACATTCAAGATAACTTGTCAGTTGATTTATGCATCTGATTTTCTGTATTGCTGTTAAATATCTGTGATGAAAATGTTTGAAAGGATAATGTGCCCTGAAAGTTTTCTTTAAAACTACTTTGCTGCTTTTGTTACAATTTTTGTATTACTGTTCACTTGTATTAACAGTGAAAATAAAGCTAGCTTTGTAAATGCTCAAAGTAAAGTAACTTAATCTGGTTTGAGCAAAAAATCATCATCTTGGAAGGGCAATACTTAACTAATTTAATGGAAAATTAACTGCAACCTGTCTATATTTTTAAAATTAAGCCTGTATAGAATTAGTTTCAGACATGTATCTGTCATCCAGTTCCCTATTTATGTCATTAGTACTAATGGCATTGCCGTTGTTACCATCACCATTCCCCTGGTTTCAAACTGTTCTCCTCTGGGTTCCAACAACAAAAGCTACCAGCCTGTGAATTTTTGAGCACTGACAAGACGTTGATACAGTGAATCCACACAAAGATTCAGTCACGATTCATGAGAAAATACAGTATAAATATGAATCTTGTCTATTTATAACAAAACCTTTTGTGTGCAGTTCAGACAGTTTTAGTCTTGATGGTTTCTGTGAGTTCTTCCTGTTTCCTGCTGTTAAGAAGGTAGAAAATGTACCTATTCCTGCAGAAATGTAAACTGTTATTTTTTCACCTCCAGCATTAACCTTATCACTGGTCACTTAGAAGAACCAATGCCCAATCCAATGGATGAAATGACAGAAGAGCAAAAAGAATATGAAGCTATGAAGCTTGTCAACATGTTTGATAAACTTTCCAGGTATTGTATTATAGCTGCTTTTGAGAGGCAGCTTGTATCCCGGCTCTTTACTAAGGTCTAGTGCTTCAAAATAGTGCTAGAATCGACTTCTTTGTAGGATTAGGACCACTTTAAATGCAGAGAAAATGTTTAGCACTTCAAAGAAAAGAATGATATGTTGCAGGACTTCAGAGGAAACCTCTTTTGGGGAGGATTGAACAGAATTGGGAAGATGTGGTAGTGAGTGGACCTGCCTCCTGAATAGATAGGCTGATGGTAATGAAGACAATTTCTTCCTTTAAAGTATGGGACACAATCTAAGCTCAAGGCAAGCATGGTTATTTTCCCCAAGTTAATGAGCAGCAGCATCTCATTGTAATTACTTATGCCTGCTCCTTATATGAAGAGCAAATGCAGTGTGGAAATAGTTGTTGTCAGAAACAATAAATTGTATAATGGAACAATTAAAAGGGAATTTACAGTTAAGACTTACTGTGGATTGATTAGGTTAAGTGTGGACTGGATTACAAATCAGCCTTTGTAATTTGTTTTATGTGACAAAGGTAATGCCATGAAAGAAATGGGTACTTAGTGTGACATAATGGTGTTACAGTATTGATACAGAGAGTTGATCTTCAGTTCATAACTTTCTGTGTATGAGAGAACATAGACCTGTGCTGTTATCTCTAGCCTTTTTGCTCTTTGGCTCAATATGCCTAGAATTTACTGTTTTTTTCTTTTCCCATATTTCAAGCCACGTTGGAGTGATTGCTTGTATTTTTTTTAATTCCTAAGTAAAGTTACATTCTTGAGAAACACTTACATGGTACTAATTTGCCATTGAACTGAGCCGTAGGAGGTAAATATTTAAGGGCATCCATTCTTCAAATGTGATAAAAACTCAGCAGCTAGAAATGTGCTTGTTTTGTGAGAGTCTATAGATAATCAATTAACAAGATCTATTGAGAGAAATTCAGCAAAACATGTCTTTATTCCTAATCCTTAGCAGAGATGTATAGCAAAAGATACAGGAGAATCTGGATTTTACGTTAGCTGTCAAAAACTGAATTACGGGCAGGATTGGAAGCAGGGAAGGAGCTTAGAACAACTGATCTGAGACTGTCAGTGAAGTAATTGGATATTTTTCCACATTATTTGCATGGAAGGCAATTGTACCTTGTCACAGTCTTCTTAGGAAAGAGAAGAAAATGCAATGCACATGTAATCTTAATTGAACTACTCTGTAAAAATGAATCATTGCTATGTTAAGCTAGAGAATTAAGATGCTGAGCATTAAGGGTACCACAATAAAATGACTAAATGGTCTAAAACGTTCTTTGAAAGTAAGATTGAGGCTGCAGACAAGCTGAGACTGAAGGCAGTTGCTGTCACTGCAGCAATTACACAAAAACTCCCAATGGTTACTGTGGCACAAGAGCCCTTTCAGTTTGGAGGGTCGGAGGCACCTGCTGCAGTGCCTGCCACAGGCTGACAATGACTGAGCAGCTGCTGCCCTGTGTCACCACTTATCCTCTTGGCCAGCAGCACTGCTGTCACCTTGAGCCTTCTGTGCCCCTTACATCCACCTGCAATTTCTTTTATAGCACTTACACTGCTTCAGGGCTGGCACTCTGTGGTAGGGTTTTTGTTTGTTTAGTATTGGGTTATTGTGGGACAGTGTTGTTGATGTGACCCCTTTAGGTGCTGTGATAACATCAATAAAATAATTTCACTGTTCTTCCCACACTTTCTGTTTACTTAAAATAGGGGAGGAGGAAATGCTGGCAGGAAGGAAAAAGAAAATAAGACTTGGAATGTGGAGGTTGTGGGATGTTTTTCATGAATGTAATTGAGTGCAATTGTGGGCCCTGCAGATGTTAAATAACGTGGGAAGTTGCCAGTCTTGCATACAAGGAGGAGTTAGTACCATGCTGATAGTAGTGGGAGTCCCTCCATGGTTTTGGAATAGGACATTTGTGCTGCCTCCAGCTTGAGAAGTGCTGGGAGTTTGCAGACTTAAATCTACATGGAATACACTTCTTATCCTTGGTTTGCACCCTACAGATGCAAAGCAGAGGTGGTTGCTCAGTTGGAGTTTTTGGTTGATTCTGGGGTTTGAGTCTTCCTCTGAGGCAGAGAGCTCGTGGCAGGTTTCCTGCTTCTCTCCCTTGTCATCATAGGAGGGAAATATGCCATGAACAGGTTCAGATTGATGCAGTGCTTTGCTTATAGAGGGGAGGAAGTTGAACAGGAGCAAACAACTTCTCCTGAGCAAGTTTACATAATTTAATGCAACCCGAACAGGAGCTTAGGGTAAACTTGTGTGATGTACAGCAAAACAGCTTTACTTAGTTCACTGGTATTGTCCCAGCAGTGGAAGCTAAGCTTTAAAGAGCTGCCACGCTTTTACTGAAGAAAAGTATGAAAAAAAAAAAAAAAAGTTGAAGGACTGACAAACTTGGACTTGTCAACTTCCTTCCCTGACTGATGAGAATAATTAGGCCAGTTTGTCACTGGGGCACTTCAGATTTGACTTTGACTGGCTGAGTATGAGGACTCAGAAAAACAAATTATCCAGGCAGTACTATTTCATTGGGAAATTATAGCCTTCATTAATGGCTGCTGAATGTTTGCACTGTACCCTTTGTAAAGGTTTATTGAAGCTATAAGTTCAAACGGACATCTTTTTCCTAGTTCTGTAGTATGCCAGTGGATTTTTGCTTTTTAGGTTTATTTTTATTTTCAACATTGGCCTGAAAAATAGAAACTTTTTGAGATCATGTAAAACGGATTGATGCTTTTGGTCATTTCAGGTCATACTTCCCAAGCTTTTCTACTCTTTTAGGTTATTGGTGTTTGGGCCTGTTCATGAGGTTTATCGACCATCAACAAGGCTAAATTAAAATTAATCACCCAGTTTTGATTTCTCAAAATACCTGTAGGAAAGCTAAATATTGTTATGAACCCATTTCCCCTGTGCCAATATTTTAACATACAGTTGGATTCTACAAAGGCTTTTATAGAAATTAGTATTTTGATCAAATATGGCTGAGTGAGATGACTTTTTAAAAATAAATACATACAAATTGTAAGTATAAATGAACATGAGAAATCTCGATTACTGCATTTCTTGGGAGATGTATATACAACTTAGGCTGATCCTGGATGCCTGAACTTGGCCCTGATATAACTCTGTAGGTTTTGTCTGCAGTAGTGTCTTGTTGGTTCTTTGAGAACTGTTTGATGACTGCAAGTCAGTGTCCTCTGCACATGATGCACATCTTCGAGCTTTGAAAAACTCCCCAGATCTGCAAGGATTTAGCTCAGCCTTCCTTTTTTTTTTTTTTTGCAAAACATCTAGTTAGCCACCTGAAGTCAGAGTTGTGTGATATTCTGTTCATATAATAGATTATAGGAGATACTCCGTTAATTAAAATGTCTGGAAAAAATGCTAACATTTTTTCTATTATAAATGGTAGATAGAATTGTATATTAATTGACTAATTTAGAATGTCAGGATGCTTTTTCCAAGCCAACCTTGTATTAATAGGAAGAATCCTTTTCCTGATAAAATGGTCTCCAATTATCACAGCATGGGTTTTGTTGTACATTGAACAGAAGTCAACAAAACAAGTAAGAGAACCTGTCTAAATAAGGTACCGTACTCATTAAAAACACAAAATTAATCATAGGATCAATGAAGAAGGCAATGCTACATAGTTTGTTTTTTTCTTCCCCTTTTTAATCATAGAACAAAATAATGTTCCCTGAAAGGATCGGAACTATTATGTGGCACTCAATTATAAGGAGGTGAATAGGTCCCCAAGACGCTGTTTTATCAAAGGGGCAGGCTGGTGTTTACATGATGGCTGTTTGATTACAGACACCATCATTAATTCTGTGTGGCAGTGCTGCCCTGCAGCACAGACAGCGGGCAGGAGAGAGTCACCCTTCAAAACAAGGCAATGATTTTTGAGTCGTTATCAAGCTAAATAGCAAGCAGGAAGGCTGAACTTGTATGGATATATTTGAAGGGACTCTTGGCAGATCTGCAAGTGGAAGAAGATAATGCGTTTTACCAACTGTTTAATTATGGTGTGTTCCTAAGTACACTTGAATAGAATGCTTTATTTGCATTAGAAAAATGAGTGTTACAAGATGTGTTTGAGTACGTGGAAGGTCACCTAAGGATGTTCAAACATGTATAAATACACACATTGTGTACTTGTATGGAACTTCATAGATATGGAAGAATTGCCACTGCCATCTACTGGGCTGAGGCCAGTAATGTTCTGCCCTATGGATGTGCTATAAACATCCAGTTTCTGGACAGTGACCTGTTTTCTGAGGCTCTGCTTGTCAGTTCCTGGCACTTCCTTTCCCACCTTGTCTCTCTCTCAGCTGTGGACACATCCTCAGGTGTGCGAGCACATCCTCAGGTAGCCCAGGGTGTCAAAGCACAGTTGAGGTCTAGATTGTGGTTAGAAACTAAATAGGCTGATCCTTGTTTCTCCTCCTTCTTCCTTTGGTGGCTTGGCATATTTCTGTCTTCACACAGTTCAGTTTTACTGGGTAGCACTTGCCTGAGGAAGGATGTGTGGAATTCAGCCTCCTAATGCAGAGAACAGAAAACCCCTACCAGCCCTCTCCCATCCTGCTCAGGGACTTGCAAAGCAGGAAGCTCAGGCAGGAACAGAAAGGTACTTGATAAGCATCCTTGTTACTCTGTGCAATGCGAGCTCAGCCTGGCTCCCATGGTTAAAGCCTAAAGCTAAAGCGGGATGTGAAAGTGAGGCTGGAAAAGGGAAGCCTCAGAGAAAGAGCTTTACCTTTATGATTGACTAATAATGAGATAGGACTTCTTGACAACATTTAGAGTCCTAAGAATTATTGGGAGGAGAGGGAGATCTCCACATAAAGGGACCTTGGGACCTTGTTTTCATGTGTTTATCTTTCCTATTTAATGCACAAATTCTTTATCCTTTATTAGCCATTATAATTCATTTATTACCAAAAATAAATGGCAAATGACTAGAAAATTAAGTGATTCCTTGACTTCTGGCTCTAGTATTAAATGTTGCCACTTAAGAGTATGCTTTGGGATTTTTAAAACAAAAATCTAGGATCCTTTCAGCTTTATTAAAGGGCAAGCAATGGTGATTCTGTTCTTCATGGCTGCATTTTTACATTTTAGAGGTTATTTGTTTTGTATGATGTTTTAAGTTTGAAAACCAAAAAGACCTTAGATTTATAGGATTTTTTTCTCTGTGGGAAAAAAAGTCTTTGCTGTTAGACACAACTGTAATGCATTCCAGTTTTGCCTTTGGGGAACCCCTACAGCAGGCAGGGTTCTAGTTCTCTTTGGACACCAGATTTGCAGTCTTCATGTTTTGAGCCCATTTGAATCTGATTTCAAGGGCTCAGAGGTGTCTTTTCCACACATCCTTAAGAGATTCTCTGAGTGCTGTCACTTGGGCAGAATCTGCACATTATGGATTGCATTGCAGAAGGAAGGGGACTCACTAGCAATCCTGAAGTAATGGCAAACTCTTTCCAGTCTGTTTAAAGATGGATCCTACTCTTTCACACACACTGAGGGAGAGCCTGGCCTGTGCTCTTTGATCTGGTCTTGCAAACCTCCTTCCCTGGCCTCAGGCTTCCCACCAGACCTGGTCAGCCAAACCACAGCAATTGTTTCTCATGTGGTATTTGTGAGTTTATCACTGTAGGATCTGATTGTCACATCTGCACAAACAGCTGCATTTATCTTGCTGGTCTCTTTTTGAGATGTGATTTAACTTCATCTTGACTGTACAGTGTCTAGCATATGCATGCCATGTGACTCAGATGTTGCCTTTCTTGCTGTTCCTGTGGGTGCATCAAGGTTGGACTGATTGCCAGTTTTGTACAAGGAATTGTCCCTTTTTTCAGCCAAGGTAATAGTGCAGACCAGGCAGAGAACTGGTGAGATGGCTTTGCTTCCCCACCGAGTGATACAGTTTTATTGTCCGTGGCTTGGGAGGGTGGTAGATGTATGTTAAATTGACAGTTCTACTGGGCTGCCTTTCAACCAAGGGGTAAATTAACATCAAACCTCTGCTTCTTTATTTAAGGTGACTCCTGAATATTTAGAGGTATTTTCCCTTTTTTTTCAGCGTAAAATCAAAATGTTATCTTTGCCCTTATAGCTTTTGCCATAATCCACATATAAATGAGGTGATAAAAAGTAAGGATTAAATAAATCTTTGCTAATACTTTTTGATTGGCTTAATCAATAATTAATCATCTCTTAGATGAGGCTGTAGCTTTTGGAGTAGATATAATTGGATTAGCCGCTGAGCAGCCTTTGGAGCTTTGAAGAGATTAAAATGGCTGTAAATCCTATAATTAAACTGCCACAAACAAAAGCAATAGTATTAGAATCAGTCAGCTATTTTTAAATGAATCAGCAAGTCCTTGACACACCCCTAGTAGTGGTGTAGGCAGAGTTTGTTCTCTTAACTGATTTATTTCCCTCAACAAGATGAATATGTATCAAATCATTGTTTTAATTGCTTGGGCATATATTAGCCAGAATGGCAGGTGAAATTTTAGGAAGAGCTGGCTGTTAGAGAATTCTCAGAAGAAAAGCTAGTTTGTGTATCCAAAACAGTGAACCTGCTCCTTGTCTTGAGCCTGTTAGGCACTGACTTTTCATGGTGTCTTTAATTGGCTAAGGAGGTTTGGCCTACATGAATGAAGTCTTTATCTGTCCTGCTCTTCCCCTCCCACCTATTTGGGAAGATTTTTTGTGCCTTTTTCTTCAAAACAGAGGGCTTTAGCAGGAATAACTTCCTTTTAAAGGCTCATTATGTGCCAAAGCATATACTGTATGTGATTGCATTATACACATGGGAATTGATATGTGTGCATGTGCTAATATGGATTCTCTTTTTCAATCCCTCACAGAGATGAGCTCATAAAGCCAATGGGAGTGCGGCCGGATGGGACTATGGCTCCTTTGGAGGAAGCAGTCAGCCAGTACCATACCAGCAAGCAAGAGAGCTCAGATTCAGACTAAGGCATCACCTGCTTTACTCTCAATTCTCCTGTAATCCACACTTCTCCTTAGAGCCACATCTTTTATCCTCACATTAGCCAGCATCACTTTAACTGTTCTATTATTGGCATATTTAAATGATGGGTCCTGTGCTGTAATGTCTGAATTTTTATTATGTCTGTTTAGAGAACATATCAATTTATTAGTTTATGATCTTTATTAATTTAAAATTAAATGTATTTTAAAAGGGTAAAAAGTGAAAGCCTACAGTGTAAAATAAAGTCCACTTTCGTTTTCCAGAATCCTGTTTTCTGAACTCTGTAGGTTTTCCCATTCTTGATAACCTTTTGTATTGTCTTGCCAGTCTTCCTCTTTATATAATTGTATTCATGAAGTGTGTTTACTTAATGGCATAAGGAGCAGAGGGTGTTCAGACTTAGAAGTCTGATTGACCTTGTGAGGCTGCTTTAGCTGGCATTGAGCAGTGATTTCAAAGCTCCTGTTTTTGAAGTGCCCTGGGGTTTCTTACTGCTACAAACTTCTCCAGTTAAGCTGCTATTTACAATTTTAACAATGTGTCAGTGACAGACTGCTTCTAAAACTGCCTTTAAATTGGGAAACAAGAAGATGGATTTTGTACGTCTTCCCTCCCTCCCTGGTTAAGACCACACGAATATACCTCCTCCTCCCCTCTTTGGTTGAGTAAAAACATCCCTATTGAAACTGGTGTTCAAGAATTGCACTTGATGCCATGAATGGGAGGGGACTGGAGTGCATGTGCCAGTGTTTCACTGAATTGGGGCCTGCTTTTGGAGATTAACTGCTGTGCCTCACTTGAAGGAAAGTCAAACTAATCAACAAAGAAATATTTCCTCTTAGAGAGAACTTAGGGAGCAATGGAATAGAGAATGGGAGGGTAGAAAGGAGAAGTGTCACTTTCAATTCTGTACTCTTTAAAAACAAAGATTAAAGTTGTAGGCGTGCTGCACTGATGTTGTTGCCTCTTTGCCTGCTTGGTTTCTTTCTGTGTTTCTCCCAGCATGAATTACATGAAGAATAATCCATGCCCTAGTTTTGAATTCTGTATTTTGTGCAGCTTAAACATGCCATTCATTGGGAATGTTTCAGAAGTTGGTGTTGGTTCTCCAGTTTGTCTTTGTTTCCTATGACTTGATACCGGTTCTTTGAACTAAGGAAGATGGTGTTCAAAGACCCCGTAAAGAGGGATTTTGTATGAAATTGTGCTGTGGTTGCTTATGTGAGCAGCTTCTGCAGATGATCTTAGTCTTCCAAAAGAACTGAAAAGAAAAAAATAATGCACTGCTGTCCTCTCAGTGGTTCAGTTTGCGTTTCCAAAGGACACTGCCCAGCCACAGCAGTGTTTTACTTGGTACATATGTAATATGTCATACCTCTTCTTTATGACTCCAAAAGGGGAAGGGACCAGTTGTCCAAGAGCAAGAAATGTGCTTGGCTGCATCTAAGCTGGGTCTGAAAAATGTAACTGTGGGTTTAGCATCATGCACTGACTACTCTGAGCCCAGCACAGGCAAGTATTGTGGACCCTACAGGTACAAAGAATTTGTGATCCCTCCCCTAGGAGCAAAACTTCCCTGGAGCTGTTAATAAGGAACTGTCTTGTGTCAGCTGGGGCTGGGGAGGGAGTTGTTTCAGTCATGGGCTTCTTGCTGTTGAGCACTATGTACAGAGCATAAAAAGAGCAAAATCTCAATTGCTGCTTTAGAAGCTGTAGAATATGCTCCTACAATTAGCTGGCTAAAGAGATTAATAAAACAATAATGGCTCCAGGGATCTTGCATCAAGCAGTATAGCACGAGGCTCTTGTGCTCTGCCTCCTGTCATTTGCCACAGGGCAGCAACATTTGCAATAAATAGGTCTGTTTAGTTTATCTTGGAAAACAGATGCTTGTAGAAGGTTCTACAGACATGGATGCTGCTTCAATTAAAAAGAAAAAAGTGAAGACCTAGCATAGGCCTGAATCCTCCAGCTCAAGAGTGGCTGTCATAGCAGGTAAATGTAGATAAATTGCACTAGTGCAAGAGTAGCTCTTGTTCCAAGGGGATAGTTTGTGAAAAGGCTGCTGCAGACCTTTTGGCTTATCTTTGCAATGTAACATAGGTCCAACCTTAGCTGCACTGGCCGGAGATCTGGGAATATCTTGGGACAAAGGTCCTTCAGATCAGCAATGCCTCTGCTTCCTTTTGTGCCGGCTGGTGTTTTCAGAGTAACAGAGCACATGGTAGGATTTCTCTTGGATGGGAGTCTGGAGAAAAGTGAGGTCAAAAAAAGGAAGTGCCTGGAATTTTTAATGTCCTGTGAAATATTGCTCCTGAATTTATTTTCAAAGTTGAGTCTCCAAAACTGGAGGCTTGGGTAGCTGTGTCTTGCTTAAACTGGCAAATTGGGCAATGTCAGAAAGGGTCTCTAAGTGAAATGCCTCATTTTACTCCCTTCTGAGTGAAATGTCAGTAGGTTTTCTAGTGGTGACCATAAAGGTGTTACCCAGTGGGTTTTAAGGACATGTACGTTTCACTCCCAAAATGTCTTCCACAGTCAGTCCCAAACCCAAAATCTTTCAGTCTTTACTTTGGCATCAACAGTCCAAAGCAACACAGTTCTCATTAAAGCTCATCAATTATTTGGAAGCTTTGCTTCTTTTTGTTTCCCATTAGCGTTATGAAACAAAAGATGATGGGAAATTGCTGAAATTTGTCAGAATACTTTGTTCTTTTGTAAAATAATACAGACATATTTGTTTAGATGTTTGTGAAAACTTCCTGGCAGGTATTCCCAAATGCTATTTGAAATTTCATGTGCCCCAACAGTGGTTTTTAGGAAAAAGGGTTGTTTACAATCTGTTAAAAATGTTGTGATATAATTACCAGAAGTTTAAAGAAATTTGCCAAAGAGGAAAACCACATTAGCTTTGATGTTTTGGGTGTCCAACATTGCTGTAAATGTGTGTGATTTTTTACCCTGGATCTTGAGTTTTTCCAAGTACCTGAAAATCTGAAAAGGCTTAAAAAAAACCAAGCCCAAACAAACCAAAAACAACAACAAAACAAAACAAAAGAACAAACAAAAAGAAAAAAAAAAAAAAAAAAAAAAAAAAAAAAAAAAAAAAAAAAAAAAAAAAAAAAAAAAAAAAAAAAAAAGAAAAAAAAAAGAAAAACCAGAACAACCAGGCAATAGCCTATTTTTCTTACAGTTCTTCAAATTGTAAATTTCTCCTACCTGGGTGAAAAAATCAGTTGTCAGAGGTGGCTTTAAGGAAGAGAACATTACAATGAAGCTGTAGCATTAGTGGGTTGCTAAGCATCCTAGCCAGAAAGAGGAAAGTAAACCCCAAAGAACACAATATCCCAAATCTCCTGAAGGAGCATTCCACAACATTGTACTTCAACTTATTACCACAAAACAGCTAATAAAATCCTGTGCTTTAATAAGGCTGCCTGTAAAAAGACTCTTCCACTGTTCAAACAGTTGAGAGCCAGACTTTGCTGGTCTTTGAGCAGCAAGTTAAACAGCTGCCCAGGTCAGATCCTTTTCTGGTCAAGCATGGAAAAGTAGTGATTTAGTAGTAGTGCAAAGATGTGGCTCACTTTTAGACAGAAGAACAAAACAAAACAAAACAAAAAAAAGTTATTTAATCCTACAAATGAAAATTCTTCTTGCATTAACATCTTGGTTACTTGCATGGATCTGGCCCTTATGGAAAAAGCTTTTGCTTGTCCTGAAGTTGTTTCTCTCCAAAATACATTTCACCCTGTTGATGCAATATTTAGACCAGGAGTTTTGGGGCAAATCGATGTCCTTTTGGCTTTTCCATGTATCCTCCAGCTGTGCCTGGAAAGCAGGTCCCGGGCTGGAAGTCCTTCCCGAGCGGTGTCAGCCTGGGGGGAGCCGGGCCTGGGAGCCCATCCCGCCTCCGCTGCTGCCGGAGGGAAGCAGGGCAGGCGTGAGGCTGCCGGGAGGCCCAGATGGGTATGAGGTGAGGGAAAAGGTGGTGACTGTAGTAAAACTGAGTGTTTTTCAGGGCTCTTCCTCTTAGCACAGCAAAGCAGGTGAGTCCTGTCAATCTCCTGCTTTTTCCTGTTGCTGTGGGAGGCTGTGCCTGCCGCAGGTTGTTGCCCTCGGTTCAGGCCCCAGTGGCGCTGTGGGTGTTGCAGTCAGTCCCTCACGGGGAGCTGCCCGTGCTCTGTGCCTTGCTGTCGTCCCTGGGAGCAAGCCCCTGTTCCTGGCTCTGTGTGAGTGAGGAGGAGGAGGAGGGGGTCCCACAGGAACGGACCCAACTAATTTCTTGGGAAGGAGGTAGGAGCAGCCCTGTCTTCTCTGGGCAGCATTGCAGCCACTTTCAGTTCTGCCATGGGACAGCTCTGAGGGCCAGGCTGACCAGCAGCTGCTGCCATGCCAGTGGCCTCTGGCCAGGCTTGAGGACAGCAGATGCAGTCTGTCAGGTAGGGAAAAAAACCCAAACCCCAAATCTGACTATTGCCACAAGCAGTCCTACAGCACCATCTGACAGCACGAGGGTCAGCTCAGCTCTCTGTCCTGGCTGGGAGCAGCAGGGTCCAACAGGACCAGGTAAGTTCCTCGAGCATCCCGGCTTTCTCCAGAGCAGGCGAGAGCGCAGATCACTGAGCTGCTGATGTGCCTGGGAATCGATCCCTCCAACAGCATGCCAATCTCTGTGGGGTACCTAGGCAGGCTTTTAGAGGTTGGTGAGGAAGGAATTATTCAGACCACCCATCTTAGCTGGCTAAATTACCCGGGTAGTCTCTTCTAAGTCCTTTTCCAGTCACGGATGAGAGAGAGGACAATTCAGAGTAAGGCTCATTTGGGTGCACTGAATGACCCTCTGCAGGAGCTTTGCTTTCCCTCCCTCGACTACAGAGGGAGCCTGGGGAGACCAGCTGGTTACATTTAACTGCTAAATTGGTTGCCAAAAGATGGGTGGTGAGAATTCCTTCCAGTTTCCCCTTTGCCATGGACCACACTCTTCCCACAGCAGGATGCTCGCTTGCTCTCTCCTGCAAATTGGAGATTGCTCAGTGCAATGGGATACACGCCCCCAGGAGCCGCTGGATACAAGACAAAGGCTGTATCACATCTCTTGGCAGGTACTGTATGAGGCTGTGTGCAGGATTTCATGGGCTTCCTGCTTCAACAGGTTCTTTAAAGCAGCTTTGGTTTTGGGAGCCTGTTTAACAACTTGCCTTGGTATATGCCAAGTTTTACGCACGTTCTGAAATTTGAAAATCCACGTGAAACCTCTAGCAAAAAATGTAACTAGAGAGGGAAAGATAGCAGAAAAGACTTCTAAGTTCACTCCAGATTTAACAAATGGAGAGAAAGGTGAAGCCATACAAAACAAACCCTACTGAGACTGCCCCTTCCTCTTTGCCTGATAAACCCATTACAAATTGAAAGAAAAGCAGCCAAGATCGGCAGGCTTCAGGACATCCATTAGCCCTCTTTTACGTTTTAGAGCTTGTAACAGATGCTGACTGTGGGTGTTAGTCCTTGTCTAATCAAAAAGCCCAATTCTTCAGTCTAGAAACATAAAATACGAGTTTCTGCCGATAAGAATTCAAACCTGAACCTAAACTACCAGGATTCTCAGGCTCCATGATTATTTTATGCCCAAGAAGTGAGTTTGCCTGGTAAATCACAGTGCTGTGGCACATCACACTTCCAAAGGCATCAGAAAAAACCAGTAGTTTATTAGTGGTTTTTTTCCTTTTTGAGAAGAGACTAGTGACTGTCTGGATTCCCTCCTGTTTTCTCAGTCCCCAAATGTTCATAACACCCTGTTGGGGAGGAATAATTCCCATCCAAGTTGTAAAACACACTTACAAGTAGATGGGAAAAGCATGAACAGTGCTGTAAAGAAAACAAAACCGCCAGGAACAAGATCTTATTTTGCATGCTTCTCACTGTTGTATTTTTGTCCTAATTAGCATATTTTAAAGACAAGCCTTTTTTAAAAAAAAAATTCTGCTATCTGCCTGGACTGTTCTCAAGCTTTGAACTTTTCCATCCTTTCTATTGATTATGGCCAAGTGACCCATATTTAAAAAGCATTTACAATAAAATTATAGCACTTTCTTTTGTGCTGCCGGCTTTCCCAGTGAAAAGCTAAAATGTTTTAAAATTGTCACTTTTTGACAGAGGTAATGGCTGTAATATATTTAGTCTCTTTCCCCTTGTTGTGCTTAAAATGGCTATGCTAATAAAGGGCACAGCTGTCGATACTTTATGGCCTGCTGGGGGGAAGAGGGGGAACGAA